AGTGTCCCGGTGGACCGTCAAAAGGGTTTTAGACCGAGAAAAGAAAGGACAACTATCCGCGAAGGTGGTCACAGGTCGTTCGAGGTCAGCTCGGGTTCCGAGGGTTATCGCTGCTATCAAAAGGAAGATTCGGGTGAATCCAGTGCGTTCAATAAGGAAAATGGCAAAGGAACACGGGATCAGTGAATTTACGGTACGGAAGATCGTAAAGGAAGATTGCGGGGCGAAGTCGAGGCACGGAAAAAACTCACATGATTACCAACCGCATCTGGGAGCTACGAGTCGAACGATGCAAGAAAATCTTGAACTTCCTTAAGCGAAAAAATCCGGTAATCCTGTTCACCGACGAGAGCATGTTTACCGTCGATCCCGTAGCAAATTCCAGAACCGACCGGTATATTAGTTCTCTTCCGGTAAAAGACGTGGCCGACGAGCACAAGAACGTGTATCTGATCAAGCATCCTGCTAGCATTATGGTGTTTGGATTGGTGGCTTCCGATGGCAAAAAAATTGACCCGGTGTTCATTCCAGAAGGCGGCAAGGTCAACACGGAGGTCTACATCGGGATTTTAAGTAAGTATGTTCTTCCGTGGATCAAAGAACAGTACGGTCCGAAGCCAAATGTTGTATTTCAACAAGATGAGGCTCCGTGCCGCACCTCGAACCGCACTCAGAAGTGATTGCAGGAACATTTTCCGTTCTGGGCGAAGGATATGTGGCCGCCATCCTGCCCCGATCTTAATCCGCTGGATTACTCAATATGGCGCGTCATGAAGGCCAAGGCCTGTTTTAAACGCCACCCGCGTACAGCTAGCCTCAGACAAACATTGACCCGTACCTGTAGAGAAATGGATCCAGACTACATTATTAGAACCTGCCGTGCATTCCGGAAGCGTGTGGAGGCAGTAATTGTAGCAAGTGGAAACTCAATCGATGATTAACATAGTTTAAGACTCTGAGAAACATCCCCCCTTTGAATAAAAAAAAAAAACAAAAACGAAATTTTTGAGATTTTTTTAAATTTTGACATTGCTTAATGGTGCAAACATTATCACGCATACGGTATGATTCAACTGAACTCAAATTTGGGTCGATCTCATTGGCCGTGTGTTCGATTAGAATGACGGTTTCCCATGCCGTTAACAGATAATCGGTAGCTCCAATTTTGACATGTCGTCACTCTACCCACATTGATGTTGTTTTAACCCATATCGTGCGATCAATAAATATTAACTAAATCCGACTAAAGTTTATCAATGTTGGTATTTTCCAACCGTATGTATCATTTTGCGTGAATCATTTGCGATAAATCTTTCCACAGACGGCTTCAAACAAAAACCGAACACGGTAATCGCTTATTATTTTGTTTGCTTTAAACTTGAATCAAGAGTAAGAAATATACGCGGCAAGTTAAGGTGAAATTTTCCGAAAAATTTATATTCAGTTTTTTTCCGACCCATCATTTCAGATTGCAAAAAGATCGCGTCATTTTGTGTAAAATAGCAAAAGCAGTGAAATGACGAGAGCTTTTCGCCATCTAAAATGAAGCGTCGAAAAAAAACTGGGTTTCTATGTTTGAACCTCGCAGCAAAGTAAATTGCACCTTAATGCTCATTTGCGATCAACAAAAAAAAAAAGGTGATTGCAGGGGTATGACACAGCTTGTCTTCTCTCACCGCGTCACTTGACGTGATGATGCGAGCTCTCACGGGTCGTCAAAGTGGGGGTATAAACAAATCTCGCGTCACTTTTCAAATAGACCAATGTAACAAATGTAAACAAATTGAGTTAAGCGATACAAACTATTGCTCTTCTATCATTGTATGGTATACAAAAACATCCATCCAAATTTACTTTCATTTATTTAAGATAATCATTGATAAAAAATTGTCCAATGTACAGTTTGAAATGATGGGTACATGATTGTTACTTCGGTCATTCGGACTGCCTAACATGATTGGTGCTCATTTTCCAAAGGCGGGGCCAATCTAAAGTTAGGTACTATACTCTGAAATCTGTGAAAGGGAATCTAGTATCATGTAGACAAAACGTCCAATGTAACACTCATTGATTATGTCATTGAGAAAAATCGTCCAATGTAACATGTCCGATGTACAACTCGACTTGTCAAAACGTCCTATGTGGTTTTTTCTATGTTGTAGCATGAAATTCAAAGTAAAATTGTGATTTTACCGTTTCTTCTGAATTTTCAACGTTATTAGACACTGACTACATTAAAAATAGTATTGCAAAATGTATAGTTTTTAAACAGTTAAAATAATAATCTGTCGAACTTCAACTTCGATTTTCTCAAAATGGTGGATATGTTACATTGGTCTATTTGAAAAGTGACGCGAGAAATTCGCTTCTTGGCACCTTGAAATTTACCTTCTTTAGTTTGTCACGTTGTTGTGATCTGCTGTTGTCTACAACCAAACAAACACAGCTCGTGTTTCTGAGCGCAAAGAGAGTTGAATGAATTTTTAATATTTTCAATTCTCCACACATTGCCGCGCTGCAGTTAATGATGATCATAACGACGGCGACGGCAGGGACAACGAAACCGGTGACGACTGCGGGATGGGTGCACGGTGAAGGCATTTTCAATAAGCTTATTTATTTATATTTACATTTGTGAATGCGAACTGCTCGCTCGGCTCAGTGGGGCTACGTAAGATTTAATTTTAACCCGCGTAAGCACCCCGAAGCGAATCGTGTGGAGGGCCGCGCCGGGACTCTGATCCGTATGGTGGTGGTTTCGACTCTCGCTCACCATTTTTTGGCCCATTTGTGAGCGCGCGGTCGCTCAAATTTAGCAGTGACATCAACTTTGGTGCACGTACGGCCGAAGTAGACGTTTTTTGTGTGTGTCTCTTCACCATCAGTGATGGTGACCAGACAAAGAAAAGCGCTAACGAAATTGTTGACAGATATGGAGAGGTGCACCGCCGCAACACTTGTTTGTAGCGGTACGGATCATGAAAAGAGTAATCAAAACTATTAGCATGCCTTTCATTCGATTGGGTGTCCTTGAATTGGCTACTTCCCTGTCTGTAGTTCAATTGGACAACCAATTCGGGGACGCTGTTCATAAACTACGTAGACAGTGTTTCAAAAGGTTTAAAACTCCTTCCCTCCCACTGCGTAGACTGACGTAGTTTATGGAGAGCCTCCATACAAAATCCAGTCGACAGGAAAAGTTTAAATGTTGAGTAGGTGCAGGAAAAAAAAATTGCCGAATCAGCAGGATCATAACGGGTCGCAAAGTGTTGAGTTCACTTCCTCTTCGCGGTTGAATGACCATCCACGCACGCAGACGGTTTCACACACTATACTATCATCAACGCTGTCAACAATGTGGTGGCCGGTCGAGCGAGCGCGCGCGATGAAATAGTGAAACCGCATCACCAAACCGGAAGTTTGTTTGGTGGCACTCTCACGACCAGCCGTTTCTGATATGTCGCGCAATGCGACCTCGATCGGTGCGTGAGAATATTTGTAGTTTGATCGTTGCCTCGCTACGCCTGCTTTGCTCTTATACAGTTCCTTTTCAACCCGACTGCTAGTCCTCCGTTATCAATCGTAGTAGGCGATAAAAGTAAACTCTTTTTGAGGCGCACTCTAGTAGTGTGCTCTGAGTTCTTCGAATAAAATCAAATTTTCTCCCTCTCACCAAGTTTCGAAGGCAGCATGTAAGTGGTGAGATAGATCCAAATTCAAATTTTGGCAGCACCCTCTCAGTAGACCACGTGATAAAAAGTGAGGTTGGCTTATCAACAGGCCGATAAACTCTGACTTCCTTCTCCTCCTCCATCAATAGAGGGGACAGTGGAGCAATCTCGCCAATGGAGCAATGTGACCGCTCGATTCCCAGATTTGTTAATCAGAAAATAAGTTCTGTCAGTAGTTTCTTATAACTTATCGTTTATATTCCTTCCGCAGCTATAGAAATGGTAATTTTCACAAGACTGAACAAATTTAATTTATTCTACAGAGGATAATTGTTTCTTTTGAATATGTTTATGCTAAAACTGTTTATTGTTGACCCTTCTTAAATCGTCGAGAAAACAATTTTTTTTTTTTATCGACAACAAAACAAACATTTTTAAAATCTTCTTTCATAAGATTCAAATGTATAAAAGTATTCATTTTGTATTCATGGTGTAAGTAGGGCTTGATACTATCAATTTGGTTAAAAATCTCATTCGAATTTTCCTCTGAATTTGATATCATTAGTGATAATTTTCCTAAGGTCGCCAAACTACCCCACTTTCCGCTACGTTTCTCGTTATCGCACTAACGCACTGGACAGGTGATTGAGTGGACCGTGAGGCTCCCAATTCGCTTGCCATTTATCGATTTACAAAGGAAGCAATAAGCGTCTAGATAGAAACCAAAATCATCTAGTTAAATACCACTACCAAGGTAGGCGCTGCCTTCCACGCAGGCAAGCAGAATGCGAACCCGCGATGATGAGTCATGTGTACCTATATTTAAAGTGCCCGGTGTACCAACACACAAGCGAAACAAAAAAAAAAGCACAAAGTACACCTGAACACTTGCGGGGTTGCGTGTGATAGTGTCCGCGAGAGGGCTCAGCAGAGCAAACGGAGTGTATGATTGATTTTTATTTCTTCTACGGCTTGCTTCATGTAGTAGCTACTTGCGGCAGTTGCAGCCGCGCGTACTCAAGATCCAGTTTTTCATTCGCCTTAGCGTGGCTAAAAGAAAGACCCTAGGGTCGCTTGAAGGTTGTTCTGGACTACCTCCGATTGCATGGTCAGATAAGTTGTTTGCAAACCGCGCGGTCGACGTAGGAATGCAGTTCCACCAAAACAAGTTTTTTTTTTCTTCTGCAGGCTGTTCTACTTCGTTTGGCCGTTGAGGCACGTTGCGTAAGTTCATTTAGGCGCTTGGCAATAGAATTCCGTTGCTAGAAATGCTGGTTCGTTGAGTCATTAACCTCTTAAATGAAATGGGGTCCTGTGAAAAGTACTCACCAATGAATTCGAAGGCCTCCTGGAAGTACTGCTTGATGTTCTGGTGTGGCGTGTCACTGGCTGGGATCTGTTTGTACTCCAGTCCTGGTTTGAGTTGGCTGGCTGCTGGCTGTTGGCAGGTAACGTTCAGAACGCAGTTTGCTCCGACGGTCGACGGGTCGATGGCGTCTCGTCCGTTGCCGAGCAGTAGATGTGGAAACACGGGTGATGCGGGATGCGATTCAATGTCTGTCAATGGGAAAAAAGACAGCAAAAGGGGGAAATTGTAGTAATTGGATCAAATTTGTATGAGTCATTGATATCGATTGGCGGTGGCAGTTGTAGATCCCAAATGACCGAGCAGCGGGTTTGAAAAGAGAGTAGGTACTTGGGCAATAAATTTCCAGCAAATTAATATAAACACTTGCCTTCCCGCAGGGCCTCTCTCGGCAGGCGGAGCGAACAACAAGGCAATATCAAAAGGCGATAACGAAATACATCAATAAAGTATTGAGTTGCATTCACACAGGCACAGCCGAGTGGTGCCCTATCAGAAGTTAAGAAATCGAGTACAACGAGGGGGGTGGATGATTAAAATTGACGTCCGAACGCGAGGGGTGAGTGTGAGAAATGAGTCACTGTTTGACACTTTCGTTTGTCTCTGGGGCCGTCGCACATCGTACAGGCGATAAGAGAGCGAGTTTCAATCATGGGTAGGCGATATTTATTTGTAACATGATATTGGTTCCGATATTTGGACAATGGTGTTGAAAATCGTCGGTTAAGTTTCTGGTAATCGAATCGATTGACAGTGATTTCCGATTCGAAAATGACACGTGTTCACGGATATAGATAAACAACGATATTCGTGAATCACACGTATTGGAGATTTGGGTAAAATTTGTCTCATCGGCCAAATACTGGAGCAGAAAATCGATTACGAAACATGAAAACGGGTGGCAGCAGCAACATGCATTGTCGACACGATCGCGAATCAGCAAAAAAAAATCGTTTATTTGTCAAAAACCGATCGCCTCGGCGCTGTTTAATTCGTCGATTAATGGTACCGTGAGGAGCGGTGTCACGTTAATTGCCATCATCAGCAGTGCAGTGTGCACTGCTACACGTGTCAAGCGAGCGCGAATGAATGTTAACATGTAACCATTCATTACACCGAATTAGGAATGAATGGGGAGCACCACGAGCAATTCTCGATTAATTGAGAATCGTCGCCGGCCGTGTTCCACCACCGGTTTCCAATTTCAGTCCATTCTGCTGCGCAGTATTTAGCGACGATCTTCTTCCTGATAGAGTGAAAAACGGGACGATGACTAACTCATTCGATTGATGATCTAAATATTCAGAACGATCAATATTCCGTATTTTGTTGTTGATTATCTGGTTTGTGCTTGTCATGTGATCTCGTTGTTTACTCGATCACTTAGCACTGGAATATATAAGCCAGCAGCGATATTCAAGCTTGCCTCTTACGCATCTTTCGATCTGCGCTAGAGTAAATTACTGCCAATTGTGCAAATTATCACAACTGGCAAGCACTGACTGAGGCTAAAAATAGTACACGAACACGTGCTGGATGCCATCTTGAACACTTGAAACGTCAACATACGGCATGTATTATGCCATCGAAGCATGTCACTTGTATTATCGTTATGACAACGGATAACGAGCGAACAAATGGACGCTCATTTCGCTTAAATACATCTGATTGCTTTGATTGCATTTCGTCTCGGTAAAATGTGTGTGAAGGCAGTTTGCCTAAGCACACACGCTAATTGAAGGCAAGTGGTTGCATCGGTGCAGGTTGTCCAAAATTCCACTGTGCAGGGGTGTGTTTGCGGAACCACGCATTGACAATCGAAATTCCTTAACGAACTGATCATCGCAGCGCGCGCATTCGCCGCTTGCCGCTGTCGTGACGTGAGTGGGAGTGGATGAGAACCGATACCTTTGTGTGTCGAGAGAGCGTCGAGAGTAGCAAATAGCGAACGAACAAAAAATAAACGATCGGCTGCTTGATCTCCGCTCGTTAGAAAATACAATACACATACACAAGAATCAGACCAAAAATAACAACAAAAGCGCGTTTGGCAAAACAGGTTTTGTTTATTATACAAGAAATCGACTATTATTGGCTTAACGCCATGATGATTGACTAGTTTTTTTTTCGGTAAAAGCGTGAGTAATACCTCAGAGAATTTATTCGTCGTTTCTCTTCTTCTTTAGCTTTATTACGTTCCCACTGGGACATTACGCCGACTCTCAACTTAGGCTGTGTTCCATTTGGAAAATTTTCACTTAAATTTGGCACTTCGAAAATAAATTAATATGTTCGAAAATCCCTCTGCTGTTGATCGGCCGATTTTCGTCAAAATTGATTCCTTGTCTGTCGGAAATAAGTCTGCTGGAATGGCAGGTTTATTTGAAAATTTTCCATCTGTCAAATTTAAGAGAAAATTCTTCAAATAGAACACAGCCTTAGTATTCTAATGCTCTGAACCATTTGGTGGATTATTTTAACTTTTGGTTATATCCGAGCGTGGTTATTTCTGACAGACAAGAAGTTAAATTTTGACAACCTTGGCTAAGTTCTTCTCGAAAACCAGTCGATCGACAGCACAGGGATTTTCGAACATAGAAAATAACTTTCGAAATGTCACTTTTAACCACGAGTTAAACTTAACTCGGCAAATGGATCACAGCCTAAAGGCCTAAACGCAATGTGGGCAGAAGCGGAGCGGAAACGGAAAGTATGACAGTTGTTACAAATGACATCAAGATGCCTAACCGAAGTCGATTTGGTTCTAACTAGTTTTCAATCCGACAAGTTGGCTTAGGCTGTGAACCATTTGCCGAGTTAAATTTAACTCGTGGTTAAAAGTGACATTTCGAAAGTTATTTTCTATGTTCGAAAATCCCCGTGCTGTCGATCGACCAGTTTTCGAGCCACGGTTGTCAAAATTTAACTTCTTGTCTGTCAGAAATAACCATGCTCGGATAGCAGGGTTAATCGATAACTTTTCATCTGTCAAATTTTAACCAAAAGTTAAAATAATCCACCAAATGGTTCAGAGCCTTACTCAGATCGGGCTTTTCCGCTTCCGCTGTCATTGCACTTGGGCCTTAAGAGGCACTTCCATAGTTGTTGAGAGCTTTCTAAAGGCTCAAACACAATGTGGACGGAAGCGGAACGAAAACGGAAAGTTTGACAGTTGTCAAACCGACAAGTAGGCTTACTCAGATCGGGCTTTTCCGCTGCTGCTGCCGTTCCACTTCAGCTGTCATTGCGCTTGGGTCTTAAGGATGTGTCATTTTTAAATCAGGATTATTCAAGCTGAACATTGCATTAGGTCCTAAGTAACATTGATCGATTCTCTTCGTCGACTTTCTCTTTCGTTAATAACTTGAGCATATAACCGTTTCTTGTTGTGTTTGTCATATTAGATGCTAGATAAAAGCTTCTTTTATCGATCTGTCTGCTGAAAATACTTGGCAATATCTTAACATGGCCGTGGGGATACAAAGAGAAAGTCGACGAAGAGAATCTGTCAATGTTACTTAGGACCTAATGCAATGTTCAGCTTGTATTGTGTGACAATTGATGAAACTAAAACTGGACTGCTTCATGAAAAAGGCAAAAAGTGTGATTTATTGCTTCATAAGGAATGAGTGCACCGAAGACAACAAAACCGTTGTCTGGCTCTGAACCATTTGGTGGATTATTTTAACTTTTGGTTAAAATTTGACAGATGGAAAGTTATCGATTAACCCTGCAATCCGAGCGTGGTTATTTGTGATAGACAAGAAGTTAAATGTTGACAACCGTGGCTGAGTTCTTCTCGAAAACTGGTCGATCGACAGCACAGGGATTTTCTAACATAGAAAATAACTTTTGAAATGTCACTTTTAACCACGAGTTAAATTTAACTCGGCAAATGGTTCACAGCCTTAATGTGTCAAAACGCGCTTATTTGACAAGTTTGGTGAGTATTAGCGGTCCTCACACGTATCAATATTATTGACAATAATCTGTTAATACATGAGTAGTGCGGAGGCACTCAAAGTGGTTGTCAAAAAAAAAAAAATCCAAATGATGCCGTCAAAAAAAAAAATCCAACGATCAGGACCACCACCGAGGCTTACGTCCCTTAAGGTGTTTCCTTGTGGGGTCCATTTTTTCCATCACACCTCGCTATTTCAAGGGCTCACAACTCAAGATCTACGAGGTTTATACATCTGAAAATTTCAGACATTGCTTGCTTCTCCGCAGCAAACAACCAGTAGTAGTTTCAGCTACGTGCATTTACAGAAACCTTATTATTTTTACATGTGAAATTGCGAAGTGTAACACGAAAAAGGACGCTACAGGGAATCACCTTAAACAGATTCGTTAGAAAGATTAAGTATTAGGATCTACAATCAAAATATTCTGCTTAAATTGAATAGCAAAGTAACGAAATAAATGTTTCTTAAAGGCTGGCCAAATTTATGCCTACCAATTCATTGTAATAATCACTAATGATTGTAAACAATCTTAACACAGAAAATTTAAATATCAAAATAATCGGGTTGAGGGAAAGCAGCAAAAGCATATTCGACCGTTTGACTTGATATTGTTTCTTACTTGATAACCATTTGAAAGCTTATTCCGAACTTTACAACACATTGGTTTTGTAAACAAATAATTTTGATGTGATTGACGGATGTTTTGACAAAGCGATTATTGTCAATAATATTCATACGTGTGGGCCTCAACACTTATGCCGAAGGCAGTCGATAAGTTTTCCGGCCCGAAAAATGCCTCGACCGGACCGGGAATCGAACCCAGCCGCCTCCAGCATGGTCTTGCTTTATTGCTGCGCCTTTACCGACTGATCTAATGGAGGCCGGTTGTCGTTTAATGGGTGTCAAAGCATAGCAAAATTTATTACTTGTTGTGCTGTTCTGATTTCTGATAGTGTATAATTATAGTTTTTGTTTGACAACAACCTCATCGAACGGGCAAGCATCGAGCTGGGAATGTTGCCTGACCGTCCTTGAAACCGGATGAATCAGTTTCAACGCTCAGAAAAGAGAAAGAAGAGCCAAACATCTCTTTCTCCTATTTATAGCCATCCGGCGAGGGCGAGACAAGGGAAAAAAAATAGCAACAGTGAAACAAGCTTTTAATTCCTTTTGAAATAAACTTCACCAATCGCTGTCGTCGTCGTCTGACGTTGTATGTGAGTGTGGAAAGGCTGTGGATCATCAACAGGTGAAATTTTCTAAACATGACCACTCGTCATGAAAAGAAATTTCTGTTCGAACCTAGGAAATACCTTGAAAGTGCGGTTGACGCATGCCATTAATCAAAATGACTGCCACAAACGACGCACTGCTGGAAATTGACAGCTCTCCTTCAAAGTTTGTTACGCATCTAAAAGTCGCGGTCGTCGTGATGCCGTGAAGTGTTGTATACATTTTGCTTTATTTTTGAAAATGACATCATTTTTTGTGCTTGACCGCTTCTGGTGCCGCGAGCGATGAGTTCATATTCTTTTCGTTTGCGCTTCGCTGCAGAAAAAGACGGTGACATACGGTGTGGAAGTATGTTAATATTGGCTGTAAATTCTGTGTTCCTCCCGAAGGCGGATGATCGAATGCAGGAGAAAAAAAAAACGAAAGAGGATACATATCCTAGTTTATGCACATTTGCCAGAAAAATAGTCAAATGTTCAGAAAAAGGCCAGCACGTTTAAGTCGAATTTCTGTAATTTTCCGCATTATTGAATGCCAGACTTGAACAGATGGGTGACAGTTATTACATGTTGACAGCATATTTTCGAAAAAATGTTCCGACATTCCAAGTGACCAACTGGCCAACTGAATATTTTTCACGCCATACCGTCGATATTATAAACGGTTTCAATTTGTTCTTATTGCCCACTGCTCGGTGTATGTGTTTTGCTAGCGTGTATGAAAGTGCATGTGCACGCGGTTTGGTCAACTAAAAAATTGAGTTTCTGAATGCGCGGCTGCGCCTGTAGTAGGCAGTGGAATCAGAATGATTTTCTCGGTCGTGTTAGGTCGGTTGTTTACAGCCATAAAGCAAATAGAAGTGATTTTTTCATTGTCGCCTGGTATATAAACAGTATGCCAGTAGGCCTGTGGTTTGCGCTTGCTGTAGGGGCTTGAAAAAGCGTTTCGTTGTGTTTTGTACATTAGCATGCTGATTGGTTTACGTAATTCACGCGTAATCGGACGCTCCACTGCGATGACGGTACATCGAACTGTCAAAACGTGCACCAATGATTGACATCAGTGCTGCCATCAGCGACATGAAATATAGTCTGTTCAACAAAGTGATAACCTTTTGGGTTATCACAAACCGCATGTTCACCGTTATGTGTTTTTGTTTTTTCCATCGCTCACAAGTATGCTATATTTACGCTTACTCAGTGTGCTCTTGGATTGGCCCTGCTGGTTTGCGGTTTATACTTTTGAATGAAACTCGATCTGACACTCTCTTCCATTGAACAATCGCTCATAGAGCGGTGCGATGAAAAAACCCGTGAATGTGGGAAAAACAATAAAATTTCATAATGAATAACCATGAATGAAAGTGCGGTGGCAATCGGAGCATCTTGTTTCGGCCATACAGAACATCACAACGGGACAACCGTTACATGTGTCACATAGGGAAATCGTGTGGTGTAACGCTACTGTATAGTAAGATCAACTGTTTACATCGTATTTGAACGATGTTTTCAGAGTGGAAATTTACATCTGTTAACCGCGTTGACAAGGGTAAACAAAGTGAAACGAATCGAGAGGCACGTTTCACTGGACTGCATATCTACGTCGAAAATCATAACAACACTGACTGGAAAGAGTATGCGACGCGCGATATTAATGAGCTACACACATCATGTAGTGAGCCGTTGTCGGTTGAGCTGAGCGCGAGACAACCCGCCCACGCATCTGCTTGGCAGCGCTACAGTCGTTAGTGGTATCATGTTCGTTTCCTGTTTGCTTGAAAAATACCGAGAATCATAATCGTGGACACAGGATAGAACGCACTTCCCCGCTCCCCCTTCGATGAGTGGTTCTCGGGACGGGGTCAAGCAGTTCTCGAAAGTATAGCCGGTAGATTATGGACTGAAATTGCTGACTTCCTCATTCCTCGGCCGGACGACCAGCAAGTTTGTTAATTGAATTAAGGGAATAAAAATGAAGCACTTACCGTAGGAAACGGCCGGACTGGAACAGCTGCGTGCCAGCGGGATCCGGGTTCCGGGCGTGATCGATGAATCATCGCAGGTATCTTTGTGCCGTTTGTGCGGATTGTGAATCGCTGGAAGAAACAGAGAACATGGGATTATTGGAATGATAAAAAAAAAAACGTTCAAACTATATAAACAATTGGGGTCGTAAGTATCGGTAGATTCGACAGCACAGATTTGCCCCCATCGGCCAAAGTATCATCGTGCAGAATCATTTCCTTATGACAGCTCTGTTGTTTACTTTGTGCTGCGCGATGATGGCGCTGATTCATGTTGATAAAAATTAACTATTCTCTTTTTTCCTCGATCTTTACACCTGAAGATATTGTGTACCTGGCGACGACGGTGGCACCAAGTGGAGAGCCGTCCAGCGTGGAGTGCAGTGAAGCCGCCGCTGCTGTTTCGTGGGCTTTGGAGCGAGAAACTTGTTTGTTACGTACGTGCTGCTCGTTGTGGCTCAACTCGCTGCGCCAATGAAGAAATCCAAGCAGCCACGAAACAAACTTGGAAAGGTCGTACTTCTTTTTTGCTTTTTTTTTCTGTCACTCCGTTGTGTGTTGAGGAGCCAGCCAGCCTTCTTGTGGTGCACTCTATCTATTGTACATAACGGCAGGTTGCACTGGCAGTGGCGGTCCATGGTGGAAAGGTGGGGCAAAACGGGTTGGCATTTTTGCTTATACTCAGCGCGCACCTTGCACCTCCACGGGTTGAGCTGAGCAAGCCTTTGTTGCGCACAGAAGAAAATGGCTGCTCGCTCACCGCACTTGCAATTGAAGCATTTTCTTCCTGCTTCGTGCAGGTGGATTTTTAGAAAGTGGATCTCCGTAATTGCAATTTTCTGCAGAGATGAGCTTCCGGAGCTGCACTGGAATGAAAAGTGCCGGAGCAACAAACGGGACAGTTACGACCTGTGAAGTGAAGTCATCAAAAGAAGCGGGGCTCTAAAATCTTAAAATAGTAGCCAAAACGTTACAAAAACAGACATTGTTTACACGCCAGCACGATTTACGATCTACCCCCGGCAGTGGTGCCCCCTCTTGCGAGTGAGTCATGTTGCGGATCAATCCGATCCCTGGGAGGTGCTCCTAGAGTCGGCCAGGAATGTTTTATGGCATCTTTTCAACTCTCATCATTAGCAAATCGAGCGTAAATCAGCGTGATTTATGTGCGAGATTTGAGCAAGGTAAGGGAAGGGAAGGAAGGGAAATATGCATGTCTTACAAGTGCGTTGCCAGTCGGATTGAGTTGGCACAGTGGTTGTGGTTAATTACCCTTTAGTACAACGACTGCCGCTGATGCGCGGTCATTTTTCTTAATGTCTCTGCCGTGTCTGCTCAGCATCTTTCAAGAGACAGAAGGCAACACACCAAAAAAAAAAGCCAATCAATGGAACATTTCCCTTCACTCTGCGCTATACTCGCGAGGTCGCTCTGCTCGAGAAACATGTGAAGGAGTAACATAAAATTTTACACGCAATGCGCAAGGCCGTCTTCGTCCAGCAGGTTCCCCTGACGGCTGCATGGGTATGTAATTTGAACCGGCAGCGCAATACACCGCACGTCCTTCCACACAGCGCAGCGCGCTCTTCGCCTGCAGGTCTCCATAGCCCACTACAATTAAAAATAAACTTCTTATAAACACTCATATATACTCTCGTTTCGCCACCTTGGCACCCGCTCCGAAAGAGAGCTGGGATCGGGCGCTCGGTCTGCGGCTGTTATGACTCAGATGTTTATAGGAGATTTAATTTAAAAATAATACATCCATTTCGGATCAACCGTACGTACTACGGTTCGTCGTCGGTTGATCTTCTTCATGGTGCGTCTTCTTAGCACTGCAGACAGAGCAACATTGGCAGACCCCCAGGCTTTGCGGTGCGCGGCCAACTTCGACTGCGAGTCGTGCGAGGAGATGGCTGCGGCAGGCGCAGAAGGGGTGGATTATTTTCATTTTCTTTCCTGCTTCGGATTTTCTTGCGTCTTTCTCCCACTATCTTCGCTCGGCTGTAGTCACAGTGTGTTGATGTTGGTGTTGTTATTTTTTTTTCAAACATATTTTGAAACACATTCGCTCTGTTTGCGCTTACACAGTTGGTTGAACCGCACCAGCCAGAGATATGTATGACTCATCCATCAGAGATATTCTCTGCTGTTGCTGTTTGCTGCGATTTCTACTGGTGGGTAGGTTGCGGAGCACTCGACGGAAGAGTAGGGAACCCCCGAGCCTGCGTTGCAAACGGCGAGACGCAAATGACCGAAATCTCCTCTCGAGTGTGCGGTGTAGCGGCAGATGTCGATATCGCTTTGGCCGTTGGGGCACTTCCTTGAAGTTTAAAGTTTAATCGCCATTTGTAATACCGTACAGTGAACGGTTGCGAAATTGTACCTATACGATCATTGCACTAGTTTTCCGTGTTTATTGTTTACAAATCGCGGTTAGAGAGCCACAAAACCATCAATGGCAACAATGGATTCGGATCGGGGCTCTGGGCGGTCTAGACGGCATTCATCATTGACGAGCGATGCAGAAAATTCCCGGTTTTCTCATTTATGGTTGTGGTATTGGATTCCTGGAATCCGGTGGCTGGTTTGGATTTATGCTTGGCTAATCGTCCAATGAATCACTGAACCGTTCGGTCCGAATGTACAGTGACTGATGTTAGGTTCACGGAAAGCATATTACTGCGCTGTGGTGTTTATTATCGTTAAGTATACACTGGACAGTGTAAGATCTAATGGCAGCTTATGGGTAAATGGTTTTTGCAACGCGCGGGGCATGATGCAAACTCCGGGAAGAGTTGTACTATTTGCTGATGACGACGACGACTCAGGTGATGATGTCACTTTCTAGCAATAAACAGTGGGACGGTCACTACAAACGGGGAATTGTGGCTCGGAGCGTTCTAGGAATTTGCTGTATGTATGCATATATCACAATGATGAAGCAGGATGTACCTTAGGACCCGGTTAGTTTCAATAGCTAGGATTCAGGGGGCGGGACACCTTAGCAGAATTTAGAACAAACATTGTCTATCTTTTGCATGCATTAGTTTTTGAAAATACTAAAATATTTTCGTTGATATTTAGAAATATTTGTTGATATTTCCAAATGTATCTCAGCTGTCTTGCCCCTTACTAAAATTGGAATTAAACGGCGCTCATTTAGAAAATGTTTAACTGGTACTCCTACACTGGTGCCCAATGGCGTTACACACCAGTGCTGTACCCCTGTTAAACATTGATTGGTGCCAGGATATCGACTAGACAACATGTTTTAAATGTTATTTGTTGTGTAAACTTTGATTCAATTCGGCATTGATAATTGTCTGAATCTCAAATAATATTGCTAGTATTGAGACTAGAGAGGGTCAAGTATAACAGGTACAAGAGAGGAGCGACTGGCTGGTTTTTAGCCAAACGAACTGTCAAAGCCAGAGTTAATCGAGCAGCACCTATCTTGATTTCATTGGCAGTGTTGCTAGAAACAACCCAGGCAAAGGTTGCCAAGGCAGTTTGTTTTGAATCCGCTCGTCTTGTATACCTCGTCTTATACTAGACCCTCTCTAATTGAGACTTACGATCTCTGAGATTAAGACAACGTCATTCTTGTCACTCAGGATGTTTGCTCAAGCATGTCGATAGGGGCTTGATTAAGAAAATCGAAACGAAGCGTTTTTCATATGAACGTCCCCTTTCCCCTTAATAAAGAAACAACAACAACAGCCAATCGGACTGTCCAACGAGGTACCAAACGAGCAAAATAAATAAACGCCATTGTTCCTAGAGCTGATGAACTGTAAGTATTACATTCATAGCTAAAAATATTTCAATCATTTTGCCAAACAAACATTCCTTCATTTCATTTATTGCGTTTTGTTCTTGATAAGTTTTAACAATATTTTTAGTTCTTTTCAGGTGCCATGGAGTTTATTATCCCTCAAAGCAATACCTTAGAGCTCTCTTTCCTCTACAACTTTATCTCAGACGTAATTTAAATCAGAATGGCCGTTTCCGTGTTAATTTATTTTCTAAAATTTCAAAGGCGCCATTTTTAAAATTTAACAAGACTTAAAGTTGCCGAATTTTAGTAAAAATGTGAATCATTGCCCATAATTGTTATGTAAAGTTTCATGCAACTCAGAGAAGAACAAGTTTTTCTAATTCCTCATTTGGCGTGGCACTGCTCCTTAGCTACATGACATATTTAAGGTGAAACTTGATTTAATCCACAAATGGCCGCTATTTTGGTTACCACTTCGAATTTTTAACGGAACGAATCTCAGAAACTGTGAAGATTTCGTGTACGAATCGATAACCACTATTTCGCTGCACTGCAGCACACATGTGAATACAATTCCTTGCACGAAATCTTCATAGTTTCTAAGGTTCGTGCCCCCAAAAACTCGTAATGACAAGACAAAAAAATTGTTTTGCGGCCATTAAATGTAGATTCTATTAACATTCACCTTAACTTCTGAATCAAACTCATTCGAAGCGAAACGCAAAAAATGTGGTTCCCATAAACACTGCTGAAAAATCATTCGCAAACCGTGCTGCTTGTTTGGCCGATTGACTCTTCACGCGGCTCTCCTAAAAATTGACTCTGCGTTTGTCAGTAATTCTTTCTGTTGCTGATAAAAATGACAACCAACAGATATTTATTGTTTGCCAACGCAATGAGACAAAAGTTGTAGCATTGCCCACGGCGAAGACCTGTTCGATTCCCGATTCAAGCTTCTTTCATGAGTACCTCAGGATGAGATGTTGACACTTGAAGGATCTCACCATTACGTCATTACGATTCGGACAGAGATCAATGAGGCTATCTATCCACAGAGAACCATTTCGCCGAGAGATGCCATGCTCCAACTAGAGCTCCAACCAAAACCTGCTCTCTGAAATACACCCGAATCACTGCGAAAATACCGCCCAAATTTTCCTGAAAAGCTGATCAACCTACCGGAAGCCATGATCGGTCGGTGCAGCGGATGCAGACACGTCGTCCTCGTTGCGATCGTCGTCTGGAGAGGAGTTGATGCAGCGCGTAGGTGGGCAAGCCGCACTGAGAAGGAGAGACTGTCGGCGGACACTTGTCGTTGGTATTTTGGTCGAGGCGAGACTAATGTCCCGCCGCGCGCGCGGAAGCTACGAGAGACACTCGGTCGCGGTTTGGCTCGACACTTGGTGGTTGGAAAACGAGCGCGGGTGCTTGGCAAAGGGGCAGAGTGATTCACGTCGTGCTCGAATGAGAGTCTAATTATAAGATGTGTATAAATCCGTCCTGAATGATGTGTGGCATGGCGTGCTGGCATAAGGGACAAGGGTTTCGATGACCAATAGAACGAAGCAAGACAGCTCATTGCAGAGGTATGTGATCTAGTTTCGATGCCCGCCTCGCACCGTTATTGTTGTTGTTGTGCGCGATTCGGTGAGGATCAAAAATAGAACAGTCGGAGGTGTGAAGTGTTCCGATCGTCCGTGCGTTTGTTGGTCTGTGTTTGCGGAGGACTTTGGCCGTTGTTGCGGTGGTAGGTACTTACCGAGTTTGGCGGCGGGCATGAGCCGTAATCCTAGGCAGGTCGATTCGCGCTTTATTCTCATCTTGGTGGACGTTGTTACAGCTCCGGTTGTCACCGACGCAGTAGACGAGTGCGATTTGGTGCTGGTAGAGCTCGAAGCGACTGCCTGTGACGATGACTGATTAGTGATAATTTTGACAGGTGACTGGATTTACACGCTGACAGCGGAACTAAGGTTGTTGTCACTCGCAGTAGGCCTTTGACGGATGATTCAATCGGAAAACTATTTTGCGCGCGCGATCGTTGTTCGTGTTCATGTATAACACCTCTTTTTATTTAGAAATGATCTCACCAATGATCGGGCCCTGATGATATCTTCGTGTTTTTTACCCTTCTCTCCCGATCTTGTTTTTCTCGACCACTGTTTTCTTCACTCTTGGCAGTTGTGATTAAAATATTGCAATGCGCACGGATCGGGTTAATACACATGAATCACTTGTATTCGCTCGACATTATGCAAGAGATTTCCTACACAACTGTCGGACGTTTGAGTATAATTTATTTTCTTCGAGTTTACCTTTTTTTTACACACGTTACTCTCTCACTCTCTTCGCGATATCAAAGCTGAAGCCCAATTTATTCGCACTTGTTACACTATATTGACTTGCCACTATCTTTACAACCTTCTGCGTTGAATACGTTAAAAACGGCACTTTATTTGTATGTGTAAAAGTGTTGGTCACCGAAGTAAAAGCACTTGATTTCACTTTGTATCACTCGTTTCTGATATTTCTGTACGCTTAATCCCACTGAATCCTAGTAGGAGTAATCCGCCAATGGGTATTTGATGTTTTGCTCCAGCTTCCTTCGATATAGCCGCGCGATAGTTGACACTTGCAACAAAGTGTCATGCAGGGATCTAACGAAGAACCGGACTGCGAGTAGAAAATGCACGAACTGGCCGTTAAATCGGAACACTGAGCGTGATGGCGCGGGATAGAAGACCAGGGATCTCTGGAGAAATTCCTGAAGGACCGCGAAAGGATGCGAACCTTCGTTGTACGCAAAGGGAAAAGATATACACGCGTGTGCTGCTCAACCGACCACAGAAATACGAATGACTGCTGACGGTCGACTGCGGACGGGGTTGCTCACCACATTCTTTGCTGCGTACTCAAACGGATACATCAACGGCACCAACACCTCCGAATACCCGCTGCCACCACTACATTCGAAGCCATTGTATGTGTATGCAGATGACGTCTTCGCAAGGGTGTCTGATACGATACGGGACGGTTGCACGTGTCCTGATTTTCAAAGTGTTGAATGCGTTTACAGGGTGAGGTGTTTTCCCGGAATTCATATAATTTTGAACTTGACCGGTTTTGAAAGACAACTTGTCACCGTGCTAAAGTAATAAAATTTCATTAATCGAAAAAAATCTTCCGGGGTTCATAAAAGACACCCTGTGACAGAATGTTTATCTTAGATACTGGCAAGATACGCGATCGTGAACACAATGGGCGAGTGCGATTAGCGCTTGGTTTCGCTACAGCCATAGCACTTGACAGATTGAGACAGATTGACAGGTTGACAGTTGACAGATTGACAGATTAACAGAATACTTACCCCTACGAAAACATAATTAAGCTTGCTCGAAGACCACCGCATGGCGAAAATTCCAACTGAAAATCAGTCCACTCTAAAACACTTAATGTTCTTGCTGTCCTAACGCATTGTCACTGCACTTCATTGTGTTTCATTTCTAATAATATGGTGAAACACATACCAACACCTTCAGCACCGACCCCAGCTGGCTTAGGAATGGGCGATGTCGATGCGATTTTTACAGAATCGATTTTTTGCCTCGAAAAATCGATGTTTTTCATCCGATCTTTTTCTGTTCGATGTTTGACAGAATCGATTTTTCAAAGTTGATATCGATTTTTTACTCATTTCTCGATGAACATTTCAAATGGTCCTATCTGCTTTGATCGATTCTCTTCATCGACTTTCTCTTTTCATAACCACTACTATGCAAACAGATTTCGCGCTAATTCTACCACATAGTTTGATAAAGGAGGTTCTTATCTAGCGTCCAAAACGTCAAATACAACAGGGAAAGGTTTTGCAGCTGAGTTATTAACGAAAGAGAAAGTCGATGAAGAGATAGGACCATTTGAAATGTTCATCGAGATTTAAACTTTTTTATAAAGCCTTTAAAAAAATAAAACGCCTAAATTACCAAAGGAGAAAATAAAATCGCCGAACTCTTTTTATGTTGTTGTTGATTATGTTGAATCAAATGTTATCATTGAATTCTTGAAAAAAAAGATAAACAAAATGGTATTTCACTATCCCAAAAATATGTTTTTATTGAAAATCATGCGATTTTAATTTCATCGTCCTCAAATTTTGCTAAGCACTCTTTCAATCTTGGGCTTTATTTATTTATTACTTTTTATGTTGTGTGTACTTTGGACCCATTCTTTCTAATTCATCCAGCTGATTTTGTTTGCAAAAAAAAAACACGCACTCCTTGATGCAAAAAAAACATTGGAAAGGTGAGTTTTAATACCTACACACTAAGATTATTTAACAGATTTCTGTAAAATTTTACAAATTTCTTTAAAAATTCATCAACAGCTGAACGTTCGGTTAACAATTTTACAGTTTTCCTGTAATTATTTACAGATATCTGTGAAAAATTCACAGATAATTGTGAAACATTACAGGAAATCTGTGAAACTGTTTACTGAACGTTCAGCTGTTGAGATTTCGGTAAAATTTTACAAATTTCTTTAAAAATTTCTAAGTGTGTACAGAAGATTTTGAAAGCTCAGATATACACGCTTATTCTGGTCAACTCAAAATTGAGTCGAATGTACTCATCTCAGCGGCAAGTATGGCTACTCAAAATTGAGTAGTCTTATGTTGACTCACTTTTGAGTAAACTACGTTGTCACGTAGAATGAGTCAAATCCACTCGCCGGTATTTTCAGTTGCAGGGAGAGTTTTTGTTTTGATTTTTATTAAAGGAAATGGAACTTGCCTGCTCCTGATTCATTCTACCGGAGCAAAAAACGGTCCAACACCGTTTCCCTAAGCAATTCGTACTTACCTGAAGGCATTTCAGCCGGTTTTGAGTAACATTTTCTATGAGGTTTCCTCCGACATGACTTGCATTTTTTTCAAGTCCAGGATTTTGCTGACTGAGTGGCTTTTACTCAGTTTGACATTTCTCGTTTACTCAATTTTTGACAACTCGATACATCGGACGAAAGTGAGTATGATCGACTCACCTGGTGAGTAAGCAGAAGTTAGAGTGTAGAGTTGAAGTTGTATAACACACTTAGAAAAAATCATGTAAATTTAGGTGCTCTAAGCCTGACATATACGAGCGTCAATTTTGACATAAAATTGTGTCATAATAGACGTGAAATTCAACTCAACAAAACGTATTTTTCGTCGAGTAACGAACTTTTCTGTCTCGGAGCATTTAATTTTACGTTACATGTTTGTTTACGTCTCATATTTTATGTCAAAGATGGATTCCGTCACATGTAAAATTAGGTATTTCTAACTGTGAAGCTAAATATTCGCAATATTATTAATAATTCGGTTTCAATATTTAAATCGAGGGGGACGACTCTATCTACGATGTAGGAAATATTGTGATTTACTGTGGCTAGCTGTGCGTACGCTGAGTAGATAGAAAGAAGATTTATCACGATTTGGGAGATTTCCTGCAAAAAGATGATGCGCGATGCAAGTAGATGCGAGATATGAAAAAAGATTTTTAGAAGATTGATTAGCTAGTGTGAGATTTTTCGAGCATCTAGAATTGAGATTTAGATGTGTCTCCCCCCACGATTTAAATAGAGTGCAATTGCTTTTGTGAATTGGTTGTATACAAATAAATGCTCACACACATACACTAAAACAACAGGAAGAGGAATATTTCGTCTAATAGAAGATTATAAAGCATAATTCAAATATTTAAAAAAAAAAAATCGATTTTACTCGAATCGATTTTTGTTCTTTCGATATTTTAGAGGATCGATTTTATAGTCAGTTTTAGAATCGATTCGACAACATCGATTTTTTGTTTCAAAACGCCCATTCCTAAGCTGGCTAACTGGCGCTTAATTCTACGATGGTGGTTGCTGTGCTTTATGTTGTCTTGATATTAATTGATTGAATAATAAAAAAAGTATCAAATATTGAAAGTATTGAGATATTTGATAGAATGGTTAATTTTCCGGAAAAATATAATAAATTATACAGACAATCCATTTCAATCAACAACCATCATCCCTATCAAAGCGACCGTTGCATCAATATTCAGCATTTTCACTTGCTCACTACCACTCAGCTGCCGATGTAGTACGTTATGAAGCGCACATAACTATATTGGTGTGTTTACACAGAGACCAGTTGTTGATGTTGTGTTTATGTTTCTACTTTGTAGTCTTCCCAGCGCTTATACCCCGCGCGACGCGACGGTTGTTTCGTCTGCCTTGCCTTGGCTTGGCTACTATACTGTACGGTATTGAGAAAAAGTATGACTCATCTGAAATGATTATATACTTTTGCGACCTCCCGTGCCATCTCCTTCCGCGTCCTCTGCTGGCTCTTGTAACGTGCAACCGTATGGCTGTCAGTGTGTTATGTGTGTAGTGGATGTTGTTGATATGACTGAGGTTGGTTCGTCGGTTGGTGCATGAATTTCGTTTAATCCATGCTGCTTGCATGATACAGTGAAGTACGACTATATGAATGCGGGAACCATACAGCTCCAGAAAGTGGTCGTTATAGATTTCCCTGACTGTGAGGCTTAAAAAAAAAAGTTCGACTAAACACGGTCCGTCTAGTCGGGTTGCTTTCTTCTTGCTGCCATCTTCTCCTTGTGCATGCATGCACCATTCGAGTGGAATATTACCAGTACCTACCACACCACCGATGTGCATCGCGACACACAGGCGATAATTAGTGCCAACCGGCCCAGACTAGCGGGCGATACACGTGATTTTGGAGCTGTCAGCGGGCGGGAAGAAATGCGATATAGCATTCAGCATGGTCAACTTTACAGTCAAAATCAGTAATCAAGTAGGCGTGTTCATGCGGGGGTACTTGACAAAAACTGCCCGCCTACTTCTCGGGGTAGGTAGAACATGCTTGTATTTATGAGTCTATGATTCATCGTTTTCTGCTTGGCAGTTGGCGTGTGTCCTTTCAAGGCCTTCTGAGTTCTGCGTGGTGATGGGAGCCGGGTAGCTTACTTCACATATATTTCTTTGGTCCTTGTTTGATAAAAACTCTGGCGAAATCTCTCGGAATCGAAATCGTGACAGTGTAGATTTTCATCGAATACTCATTTCCGTCCATAATGAGCGATAATTGCCTTGCATGGAAAAATGCAATCGTAATGATGAAACAACACAACTTATCGTATAAACATCTAAGCAGCGACATCGTCATCAGATAGTGAGATGGCTAAATCCTATATACCAGTGCGATTGCTTTCAAGTAGAATTAGTTAGTGCTTTTTCAGCTGAGGAGAATGTTCAAGATAGGCACTTGATAACGTTTGATTTCGATACGCCGTAGTGGCTGTATACTGATAGCGGTAGGGGATTCGCTGTCGTATCTGGGAATGTTTACGCAGAGCTGGGTATTTTCACCATATTGAATTGCTGTTGGTCTACGTAAATGGACGGTGATGACCAATGCTGATTGGCTGCCTATATTGTATATAATGTGCGGTTTTTCTGGATGATGAAAGTGAACCGTGATCTCGAGCTTTCCAGTTGATTATTTTTCAATACAGAGGTTGGAAATTTTTGAAATAACATACTCTCTTGAAAGGGGGGTAATAATTATGGGAAAATTCTGAAAAAATATGGACGTCATTTTTAAATCACATTGAAGCTCACATTGAAGGGGCTATTCATATTGCACGTAACACTTTCGGAACAATTGTCTGCGGTTCATGTAAATTTAAAAAAAAATGTACTTGATTGGTTGGTGGGGGAACTCCCAAACCCTCAAAAACTATCTACTTAATTTATAGACAACCCCTTAGGACGTAGTTAATTTTCAAAAAATCAAAAGCAGTTTTTTCCTTCAAAACCAAAATCATG